AAACATATATTTATATATATATAGATACATATTGCAGCATGCTGTATAGATAAGTTTTCTCTGTGCTTCATACAAAAAAAAAAAAAAAAAAAAAAGAAACAAAGAGAATGGATGGGTGGCCAATATAAAATTATTTAAATGAATTAATTAAATGTACGTATTTATGAGCGCACCAAAATTTTCTTAGCAATTTTATCAAAAATATCAAAATAATTATACGAAATTGAATTTAAATTTGAATTTATATAAAAAAAAAAATTTAAATTGCCTTGGAACGCATTCTTGATACCCACCATCTTAGGTCAAAATAAAAAATTGCGAAAATTTTATTCATTGTCAAATATTTTTATCAAATTACAGATCTGCAGCTGCGATTATTTGTTGGGTACAATTTGGGCATGTTTTGTTGTTCACGCTACTTTTCAACGTTAACTTAGTCTCTGATCATAAACTAATAATATATAGATAAAATTGAAATTTTCTATCATCATTTTCGGAAACGTTCGAATTTGAACAGTTGAGGACAGACGGACGAGAGCCAAGACCAACATGATTAATGATCATGAATGGATTCAGAATTTTGCATTGACCTTGAATGTCTTATACTTTATGAAACCACTGAGACGTATGTTTTGTGGTTACACTTGGAAAGGCAAAACTCGTAAATTCTTTTTCTACATGGACAGATATAAAAAGAAAGGTCACAATCGCTTCCAATCGGTATGCTGCTCGCTTAACTTTTTTCTAATAATTACGTTCGGCCGATCAGTAGGACTATTTTCGTTATGAACTCTTACCGAACTCTTGTGGCTGCAATCAAATTTTAAAGGACAAAAGGGCTAAGTGCGTATTCTCTTTGTCAGAACGTTTGCAACACTCAGAAGGAGACTTCAAACACACAGTAAAGCGTATGTATTGTATTCTTAAGCAGCATTAATTTCTAAAGCAATTTAAGTATGTCTGTTCGTCTGTCCGCTTGCTCAATTGCTAAGGTAAACGTTCCCCTGATCTGTCTTCAAATTTCGCATATAGATTAGAAAGACCTGCAGGCAGTTTTTAAGAGGCACGACCACAGCACTACTAAATAACCTGAAACCATCTCTGTTTACAGAAATAAAAAAAAATTCGTTTCTTGACCGTTACTTGCAAACCATTACAACAGTAAAGAATTGCGTTTTTATTCTATGGATGGTCCTGCCGCTGCTGTATAAAAACGGAAGCTTCAGATATTCTATGAAGTCTACGTATTATTATTGTTGGGCAGTATCAAATAGAAGCCGTTTGAGACATGTTCATTAATCCGTCTATCCATCTGTCAGTTAATTGCCACTAAACGTAAACGTACTTGCGGTGACAATGCTTTAAGCACACGATATAAACTTCCGCTTTTATTCTACAAAAATAGAAAAAATTAACGCCCACCCACCATTATAGAGTATGAAAATTCGGTTTTCCCCTTTTTTTAACATTTTGTAGAATAACGACAGTCAGTATAAGAGATTCGATCATAGCCGAATATAATTTTCCTGTTTGCCCTTCTTTAGCTTTTTTAGGACCACAACACCCTTTCAAGACATAGGTGATTGATCCTAGAAGCATTGCTTGCCACCTAAAGACTTGGAGAATTTGAGGTGATGAACGCCATGGCTTAATGAACCGAAAAAACTGCGCTGACCTTAAACTTTATTGTAAGGATGATGATCATGATTTCATTTTCACAACGAAGATAATAAAAGCAATGCATGGCCTTCTTTGGACAAATTGATGAACTGATAACTTGTAAGAAACAGGGCTCATTTTCCATTGATGTCAAAATCGAGTTTTATTTTTGCAATGAAAGTCAGCTTTAGGGTTAAGGATATTACGTCAAAGTTTGTCGTCTGACATATGTCCTTCGACTTGGTCAAATATAATATTAAAAAATGTTTTTAGCAAAATTTCACTCTTTACATCACTTATGGCATACGATCAATATAATGAAAATTGTGTGCTTTTTAAAAAACTTTTTAATTTCCAAGTTATTCTGCACAACAAACGCATTTACTCAAATGTATTCATGTTTTTCAGTTTGCTATTCATTTTCATTCTTTTCCTTTAATTGAAAAGAAAGAAAAAAAAGAGAAAATGTATTGAAATCGATATTCATGAAGAATTTTTAAATGCACAAAATACTACTAATAGGCTAAGTGTTCTTTGTGCGCATCTTGGCTGTCAAGAAGCCTTACTTTCCGTTTACGCAAATTTCATGATAGCTTGCTTCAACATATTCCAAAATTTAAAGCTCGTCTCTGACGTCCGGTCTACAGTTTATAAAATAGTTCATTATAGAATAGCTATTCACTGTCGAACGAATGGCTCTTTTGTGAAACATGAAATATTTCGTTTAACATTCTTTAGGCTGCAAAATGCTCATAGTCTATTCTGTTACCAGACGAAGGATGGATATTTTCTACTCGCCTTCACACTTTATAATATTATGTAGGCGTAGCTGGCTGATTTTTCTATTTGTGTAGATTATACAAGGAAATTTTTATCGTACGTACAAAGCAGTTTATGAGCAATGCGCAAACAATCTTGAAAGTAAAGATGCTCGGAGTTTCCCTTATTTTGCGGGCGTCTTCGTTAACCGATGCCCTAAAAAAATGCCAATGTTTTTGACAAATTTGCAAACCATTCCTTTATATCTTTCCCAGTTATGTTACGTTTAGCGATCGCCCAAATGGACGGACAAATGATGTGTTTTATGTGTGAAGCCATTTAACTAATAATAGCCTTTATCCCAAAAGATATCATATAATTAACCAGCTTTACTGATATGAAGATAGCCCACTAAGGTAGCTAACATTCTTAGAGGTTTGTGTGTTCGCTAAATTATGATCGACCGCAAAGTAGAAACCAATCTATAAAATAACCTCAAAAAAATCGCAAATTGCAAAATGAGCAACAACTTAAACCTTTCATTATCATATCAAAACTGAAAAACTGTGCTATTGCTTCTAAGTATCAAGCAGTGTTTATACACATTCACTGAAAAAGTGCAAGGTGCACAAATCGCATATTAAAAACTTTTACAGAAAGCGGCTACTGTAGATTTTCGTTATGTCTCAAAGGCCGCTAAAAGCTTTCAGGAAAATTTAATTTCTTTGCAAATTTCAGGTTCCATCATTGCCAAAATCCGCAATATGTATCCCTTCCTACACACATCAGATGGTAAACTAATTACAAAATAAGTTCAAACAGAAGAGTTGAGCAGGGTCGTCTTTTAAATACCCCACAACACTTTGTTCAATGTGAGCTTTTCATCATTAGCACTCAAAGTCCGGCTTTATTGCCTGTATTAAGGCACATCCTTAGTGATCTATGCCCCATTATCGCACATCCTACATCACCCTACGGTTATTCACACAACAACTTTTCAAAATAAATTGTTATATGTCCTTGAGCTAAATTTCATAAAAATATATCAAAAATTGCAGCCGTTATGCTGAAAACCAAAAATAAGACGGACAGACAAGCTTAAATTGGTTCAGAAAATATTTTTGAATCAATTGTCATAATGAAGAGTGGATCTATATTATGCATAAAATTAATATATCCTTACCGCAAATCGCGTAGGGTCTAAAAAAAGAATGCGAACTCGATCTTCCTTTATCAATCGCAAACTAACTGCGCCAACTAAAATTCGTATTTTGTTTAAATAAAAGAACACAAGACAGACAGACGGATAGACAATTAGAATTATTTTCTGAATCGATCGGTATAATAAAAGCTGGGTTTATTTAAAGTCCTTCTGGGTGTTGCGAGCGGCTGCTATATATCCTCGTACCATGAATGGTATACTGCCACTATCCCCGGAAAAGTCGTAAGTTTGCAGTCAATCAAACCATTGTAAAATTAGTTCACTATACCCAAATATTGTATTTTTAGACTCATTAATTTTTATTTTATTTCCATTTTCCATTGATTTTTTTGGATTTGTACTTGGATTAACTTGCTTAACCTAAACATATTTTCAAGACAAAATTTCAGATTAAATTTGTTACAATATTCTTGCGATCAAAGCAACAATGGTGTTTGCAGAAGGACAGAAGGACACACGTATATTTTATGGTGACTTCATTGCATATTGCTTTGAATATTAGACGTAAATGTTTAACATCACTGTGTGGTGGACTTATAAAATTGTTTTATTGAATTTCTACTTGGATGGTACTTAACCTAACACATATTGGGAACTCAAAATATCACATTAACTTTTTTCCTACGCACAAAATAACGATAGTCTTTGATAGGATAGAAGGACATATGTTTACTTTATTGTGATTTCATTGCTTACTTCTCAGAATATTGAAAATAACTTTGCTTTATCGTGGAAACATAATCGTTTTTTTTTATTTAATCCGTGGAAAAGTTCTATTGAGCAGCATAATCTTCGGACGTAGACTTCAAGCAACGGATATCTGTGGTCAGGCTGTTCAAAAAAAAAAAAAATCTGGTCGGCAAGTAAGAGCAACAAACTTATTTGCACATCAGCATTCACTAATAAAGGAGAAGAGAGAGGAGGTATACTGATGTTTTGTCATTCCTTTCATGAAAACCAATAATAGGCATACGGTGCTCATAGAATGGGCGCGAGATTTTGTATTGAGTTGTTCGTCCGCTTATCAATGCCTCTTGAAATGCGAAGAGTTGGGATAGAAACTTGGCACACCCATTTTACTGTAAATCCCATAAATTGAAAGTGCAAATAAATCTCATAGTCTAACCAATCTACAGTTGTCCGTATTCAAGCTTTCGAAGCCTTCGAAAAACTGTCTGATCAAACTTGAAATGAGTCTTCGGTTTGGCTATCATATCTTTTAACGGTCATCTATCAAAAGAGTTGCAAAACATAAGGGCTAATTTAATCCAAACCATACATGAAAAGCAAATATATATATATATATTTTTTTTTTTTTACTTATATAAGAAAACAAATTGCTTATCTTGCCTTGGTTTACCTTATTTCCGTCTGTGAAAATTTTGACAGTAATCGCTTGGCGAGTTTCTTAAGAGAAACTCAACCTTTCCTTTACAGAAAAAAAGGAGAATGAGAAGAAGAAGAGAACGTAGATCCTTCACAAAATTCTTTTCAAAAAGTTTTGCTTTATGCACTCAACATAAGTTTTCTTCTAAAAATTTCATAGAACCCTTTCCTTGTTGGGCTGTAATGTAATTTTTCACTTTCTTTTTATTTGTTTTTTTTTTTTTTCTTCTATTCTTTTCTTTTCAGCAAATTTGAAACTCAGCCACCTATAGCGTGAGTACACTAACAATTCAATGTTTAATTATCCTTAAAAATCGTCTTAAACATGTGTCGAAAAGTTTTCGAAGCACAAAAAATGGCAGAAAAAAAGTTTTTAAAACACAATGATGCTACAGGTGTACTAAAGAGTACAAGATTGAGTTTTGAAACTTTTGAAGAAACTTCAAAATGTCAGGCATACACTCGCGAATACATATGCACATACGCGTGCCACCATTGCATCATAGCATCGTCGGCGCTCGTTAAACATAAGAAATTAAATCACAGTTTTGTGTTTAAGTTTCGTTAATTTGTTTTCATTTCTCTTGATTAAATTAATTAGCAAACGCAATGAAATTATATTTTTTCAGGTTGCGTTGACGTTTTCTCGATTTCTCGGTTGCACACAAATAAAAAAGGATTGCCTTATACCGCCGTTGCTGTCATAAATTCAATTCAATTCAGTTCAATTTTAAGATACACGACTGTTTGCGAGCAAAGCTAAATAGCGAATGATCTAACGGTTATACAGACGATATGTATATCAGCGTCATCATTATCATCGTCGCCTTCGTTATAAGAAGAGATGCTGGGCTATGTGAAGCAATGATAACATTGTAGAGTATGCGACAACTACAAACGCATAGCGGGTGCTTTTATCATCACAATGCAATGGCGGCTTATAGAAGAAAAGAAAACACACATGCACACATGCACACATGCACACATGTTTGCATTCACGTTTTAGCAAGGGTTTATTACATTATATTTCTCCTGATAAAAACATGCAAAGGAGAGTAAAACCCGCCCTCTTCTCATACGGTAATGAGAAAATTTCCCTGTATTTGTTAAAGACAGCGCATAGTCGTGCGGTTAGCATGCGACCAAAGTGTATGTATGTGTGTATGTGTGTGTGTGGATTTGTGTATTTACATTCTCTAAGTTGGTCATGTGCTCTCTCTCTCTCTTTCTCTTTCTCTCTCTCTCTCTCTTTTTTTTCTCACTTTCTCTTTCTCTTTCTTACCTAAGTGCTATATTCAATTTGCTTTAATTTTTTTTTCTTTTTTTTTTTTAGAGATTTATTTTGTTAAGACCCACTCCTCCTATAAACGCTGCTGCATTCATGGCTGGCAGTGATTGTTTTTGTTTGTGTGTGGGCTTCGTTGTGTATATGTGCGAGCGCGTGTTTGTGTGTATGCCGAGGGTCTTCATTAAAAGACAATTTTCTCATTTTGTGTGAATTTTCTTCACGTTCCGTTGGAAAATTCAATTTTTTTCCTCTTAACGATGCTGAAGGTGAAGTTATGTTGTGTGTTCTATACATAGTGTGCGTGTGTGTACGAGAGTATTTATGTGCGGCGATGTATATGTGCTTGTGTTTAGTTTAGGAAGTAGTATTTATATTGTAGCCTAAGTGGGGTGAGTCTAAGCATCAGTTTACGCATATACACAAACATATTCACACACACACACACACACAATCACACACACACAGACACACTTACTTATAGACGCAATCATATCAATGATGTTTATACGTTGTAATAGCCTCTTGCACAAAGCTTGATACTTTATTTTATTACAGTTATTTTAGGGGTTTTCCCCTGACTAACGTATATTAAACTTATCCACCATAAGTGTAAGCGAGATGGCATGCAATGAGGAAAAAAGAAAAAAATTGGATTTTCATCGTCAAGCATTTACATTTAGCTATATCAGGCAAGTGCTTATATTTTTTCCTGTGCTTCTATAAAACTAGGTATGTACGAGTGACGGGCAAGTGGGATAGTAGATAAGGTAAGGTAGATAGCTTCTGTGTGTGCATGTATACACTTTGCATGGCCGGGTGCTGGTCATGGCCGTAGAGTTTGGCGCTCAAAACGATTACTCACCGAGGAATTTATTTCGAATATCATTTTTGACAACTCAATTTATTTTTATTAATTTTCCTCTCCTCGCCAGTATCACGGCCGCATTCATAGTATATATGCATGCAATAAAGATACGCACACTTACATATACATATACATATTATACTTATCCAACACAATTTCATTTCATTTTATTCCATTTCATTGTGTTGGTTCATGCAATCATTTAAAATTTATTTTTATCCAACCGGTTGGTTGGACTGCGTTGGGCTGGCTTTGTTGAAATTTCTCAGAGTTTTTCGGCTTTTAATGCCACTCGTCGTAAGTGAATTTCAGTTAATTTATTATCGAAAATTATTGCCTTTATTGTTGTTTGTTTTCTTTTTTTTTTTCCTACGTATATGTGTATGATTATTGATAATATATACGTACATATGTATGCGCACATACATGCACTCATTTAAAGTTATATTGGCATTTTTACGTAAATACTTACTTACCCATAAACATTGATTTTATTCGAAATTTTATTTATTTTATTTTCTATAGTTGGATAAAAGTATTTTTTTATTGTTTTTCTCATTTTTATTTGAAAATAATGAAGAATAATACTTTTTAGAGACTTAGAAAACAGATGAACTTTTGCGGGATTAAAAAGATATCTATGCAGGAAAATTTTATAGCATTTTTTTTTTTTTTATAATAAGTTCATCGGGATCATGGTATACGTAAGGGGAAGCGGGGAGGGAAACCGCAGTAATAGATTGCTAGAAGACAAGACATGGAAATAGATGAAGAAATATTAAGGAAATCATTATAACCAAAGGATTTCTATTCTATTATAAGTCCCAGCAATACAACCCGAATGCGCGACGATGCTTGAAATTTTTCTAGAATGTTTTGTTGTTAATATTCCTTATCAACAGTTTGGCCCGGCAGAAGGACATGGCAGAAGTATACACAACACCACACTAGTCGAAGGAAACTGTTAACATTACCTTGATTTTTGAGCGACCTAGGTCGAAAAAGTTGATTTTCTAAACGAAGTCCCGTTGCTCGTATTATAAATGCATTATATAGCTTGGCAACTATACATAGTGATTGAAGAAGAGAAGCATTTTTAACGCAATTCCAACAGGCCCATAGAAACCGAATTTTAGTTCAAGTATTGCGGATTAGAAGTAAAAGAATAACGCCTTTAAAGCTAAAGCTTAAATTTTTCAGTAAATTTTGTTTCGAAATCATCTTCCTAGAGCTTACTCCGTCGTTCCATCAATTTTCATCCAGTTACTTTGAAATTGTGACTGCCTTACAATGATCTGTAAGCAATTTTTTCAAAAAAAAAAGGTCAAATTGCAGCGATTTTTTGAAGCAATTACCTCAAGTTCGCTAGAATTTGGATTTTGGTTTCAGAGAGAATTTTGGGTTCGGTATAATTTTTCACGAACATTGTTTCTTTTTTTTTAAAGCATTTAAACTTAATTCTCTTTTTATACGATAGATATGTTCCCGAAAAATTCGTGTAAAAAGAGAATTAGGTGTACTTTCATTTCTAAAAGGTTGAATTTTAAAATTTCTTTCCTCTTTTTGCATAAATTTAGAAAAATTAATTTATTTAATCTGGACACGTGGTGATATTAGCCTTTACCAGTGCGATATTTCGAAAATAATTGAAAATGGTATGAAAGTTTAGGTAAAAATAATTAAACAACACTATTAAGCACCCTACACCACCTTGCTTAATATAATTCATCACTTATAAAAATTCATATAAAATCATATTTCTACACACACAGAGAGAGAGAGAGAGAGAGAGAGAGAGAGAGAGAGAGAGAGATAGAGAGAGATCGATCCAAAGTGGCAACGCCTACTTTTTTGCAAAAAAAAAATTGTTTTGGAGTTAATTCTTCTCGTAAAAACTAGAAAAAATTGACCAATGCCATCTAAATGTGTCACATCAATTTAGAATCTGAAAACCGTATTGTCGAGAAAATTTGAAAATTGCAATTTTTTAATGACTTTTTTAAATAACTTTTCTGACCCAGTGATCCAATAGGCTTCAATCGTAACACGCCAGTTTAAAAAATTTTATCAATATATCTCAAAAGTTGCTACCTATACAGGCGTAGTTCAATCAGCTCAGAAAATGATCCCCGGTCTATCAGTATAATAAAAGATAGGCCTCTCATAAGCATTCTTGTATTATTTATCCCAATGTTCAATATGAAAGATCTCTTAACCAACCGATTGACAGAAGTTGAGATGAGTAGGCGGAACTAAATCAAGGAAGTAGCGCGATCGCAGAAAGAGTGCTGCGCGACAAAGTGGGATCATTTTCTCACATTTTCAACCTTCGTGAGTTGCTGCGCTGCTAAATATCGTGAGGGCCGAATTCGCAAGACAAACTTAAGTTTAACATATTCTTACGTATCGAAGGTCGATTAGTTTTAACTTTAGCTGTGAGTTGGGTTTAAGGAACAAGATGGGAATGAGAGAATGCGTCTAATTCGTCGGTTCTCAACGCTAATTAGTTTTCGAAAATAATTTAAGTGACGGCGAACGCCACTTCTGTCGCTTCTCTTCAACCAAATGTCTGTCAAACGCATCATCTCTCCGCAAAATAGGCGGAAATCCGCGTAAGTGCATATGACAGCTGCCGCCCCCAGAGCAAGTTAAAGGTCATTTCCCGAAGTGCTTCCGCTGGAGGTATGCGAGCTATCATCGTCTTCGTCAATGTCGGGAAAAAATGAAAGCGTCATGTACGTTTTCCATAGCAACCAACATCAGATACAGAAGTTGTTTGTATACCTATTATAACCCCATGTCTGTCTCTCTGTCTGTATTTTATTAAAGCCCCGGAAGCTGCACGCACGAAGACAGAAATTCCAAATTTGGGTCGAGTTACGGTTTGAAAATTTTCACGATTTGTCCCCAATAATATTCACAGTAATTATAAGAGTAGGCCGTTATCTATTTTGTGGTTCCGAAAATAGACATAAACCAAACGCACTTCTCGTTAAGATTTGTATTATTTGGATCTAGCCATTATTTGCGGAGTGCAAACGTATTCCACAGGATATCTTGCAGGACTAAAAAAGAAGAGAATACCGAAAGTTTTTTCTTGCCATCACAATATTTTCGTTAATAAGAAGGACTTGAAGCAACTAACAATGCAAAATTGCTCTCCTGGTGTAGTGATATGCCTCGATGGTCATTGACACGTCATTCGTCGTTCACCATTCACAATAAAATAGTATAGATGATGATGATGATGATGATGATGATGATGATGATGATGATGATGATTTGCCTTAAAAGCGAATGCAGTTTCGTTTGCATTGTTGTTGCCATTAATTAAGGCTTCGCGTTCTCCTTTAGAATTCCCCAAACTATCTTTTTCGTTTGCCACGCATTAGTTGCAAGGAATAACGTAAATATTATCATAACCGTCATCTGAAAATCGTTTAAAGTCTTGTTATTTTAATAGGTTTTCCTCTCTGCTTTACTTAGTATCATCCTCTGATAATTTTTGTGTATTTAAAATGTTTTTTTTAATTTCTTTACCATTTGTGACCATTTATACACTATAAATGCGATAAATCGTCGTTGGAGGAAGCTCGGAATAAATTCATGTAC